TGCAGCCATGAAATTAAAAGACACTTACTCCTTGGAAGGAAAGTTATGACCAACCTAGATAGCATATTAAAAAGCAGAGACATTACTTTGCCAACAAAGGTCCGCCTAGTCAAGGCTATGGTTTTTCCAGTGGTCATGTATGGATGTGAGAGTTGAACGGTGAAGAAAGCTGAGCACCAAAAAACTGATGCTTTTGAACTGTGATGTTGGAGAAGACTCTTGAGAGTACCTTGGACTGCTAGGAGATCCAACCAGTCCATTCTAAAGACCAGTCCTGGGTGTTCATTGAAAGGACTGATGCTGAAGCTGGAGGGATTGGGGGCAGGAGGAGAAGGGGACAACAGAGGATAAGATGGCTGGATGGCATCAATGACTCGATGGACATGAGTTTGAGTAAATACCAGGAGTTGGTGATGGACAGGGAGGCCTGGCATGCTGTGATTCATGGGGTCGCAAAGAGTTGGACACGACTGAGCGACTGAACTGAACTGAACTGAGCCACCAGTTTCCTTTTGGTGTGTGATGATTCTTATGTCAGTTTTATAACTTCTCTGTCAATTCTGTTAATGTACCAATAGTCTTCTGATCAGTGTTACTTAAGTTACCCAGAGCTGGTATCTGTTGCCCCTAACCTAAAACCTCTTTGATTGACAGATGGTGGGGGTAGATGGTGATTGTAAACAGATCACTGGATAAGAGCTCTAGGCAGGGGCCCTAGGGCCCTTCAAATCCATCAAGAGAGGATGCTCCAGAAGGTTGCCTCCCACCCTCTGGAGCTGGCTTGTGCCCAGCTCCTCTATGGGCCCTTTAAAGCTCTCAAGAGGGGCCACTTAGGACCAGAACCAGATACACAGCTCCGTTCTCCCAGCTGACCTCTGCTCTCACATGGGAACTTCTGGGAACAACAGACTACCCTGCCCCTGCCTGCTAAGGTAATATTAAGACAACTGCTCAATAATGATTGAGGCAGATCAGAGGGGAAGTTGGGAGTACAGCCTTTCAGATTAGCATGCCTAATTTCTTAATCCTGGCTCTGTTATTTTAATTGTATGTACTCAGGCCTCCATTTCCTCATCTGCAAAATATAATAAAACCCACCTCACTGCCTGGAGAATGCCATGGACAGAGGAACCCAGTCCATGGGGTCGCAAAGAGTCAGACACGTTTGAGCGACTAACGCACACACAGACACAGACTGTGCTGAGGTTTAATAAGATGGTCCATGCACAGTGAGTGTTTGGATGTGTGCCTGATTGTAACAAAAGTACCTGTTGTTTTGGCAGGTAGGGTAAGACATGCAGAAACAGGAACAACTTTCATAAGGGAAGAAGTGTGCTATACTCACAGATCCCTAGAAACAGGAGGCATGCCACACCTTGCAGGTCTACGCGGGGAAATACCAGGGCCCAGCAGAAGGCAGAGAGAGTAGAGGAAGCTGGGTGAGAGCCTTTATTGCAGCTTCCATGGGAAAGATGGGTAAGGCAGGACTGGTTTTTAAAATAATTCTAGCAGGCTCTGGGGCACAGGGGCTATCCTGAGCTGTCCGGTACCTGACCCTGGAACGATTAGGACAGGAGGAGAGAGGCAGCAATCCCTCAGTCACCAAAGGGCAACATGAGGACATCCCTGAGGCCAGGAGGCTGTTAGCACTGAAAGTCATCACCCAAGAGCCTCAGCTCTCTTTGTGGATCTGGAAGCACAGCAGGGGCCATGGTCTAGATACAGAAGCAGTAAGAGTCAAAGGACCTGCCAGGATGTGTAAGAGGGGAAGAGAAGCTGGCCATGTGTGTGTGCATATCCATGTGTGTGTTGAGAGGTGGTGGGTAAACAGGTAGCCCTGGAAGTAGTTGAATTATATTGTCAAGAACACATTTTTAAATCCTTCCCCCACTGTATTTGCCTGAAAAAAATGTCTGATTTGTACATTCTGCAGGACCCCACACATGGGCATTGTCGGTCAACAGCAAACTTACTTGATAATGATCTGCATCATTATTTCCTGGGGTTTCTCTTGTCTTGATGGAGGCTTGCCACCTTAACTAAAACAGAAGTGCTCTTTCTCTGTTCTTCCCGTGTGTGAGCCTCACTTCCCCACATCATCAAGCAGGCTGCTAAGGGCCAACATGGGCTGGCCTGGACCTGCCTCTTATCACCATTCATCTGGACTGGGACAGAGCTTTCAGGCTCAGGCAAAACCACGGCTTACATCCTCATCAATTGAGCAAAATCAATGAAGGGGTCTTGAAGCCAAATAGGAAGTAAGAAGTGAAATATGTCCTGCATATCAGTAAACAAGAATGTTATAGTCATTGGTGATTCCAGTCCTCCATCATGAGCTGGTGAGCCCTGAGAAAAATCAGGATGTGAAAACACAGGATACTGGCCCCAGATAGTTGAGAAGTCAAAGGAACAGTTTCAGTGAGCCCAGACTCTTGCATCTTCCCGCACATTGGAAAAGTGCTAAATTCCTTACCTTGGGATATCTAGTTTTCCTTAATTAACAGTAATCTTTTGATGTTCTGACTACCTGCCCTTTGTTGCAAAACTTCTTTATATCCTGACTCCTTCCCTCACCTCCTTGAAGCAGCTTCTCAGATCTGTCTGAAACACTGTCTCTCGGGGTACAGTCATCATTTTGTGCGGGGAGCCAGCCTGACTGCTCAGGCTCCTTCTTGGCTCTGAGAGAGATCAAGAGATCCCTCTCTGTCCCGCCACCCCTGATTTATTAAAGCACAGGTTGGCCTTTCTCACCTCCATCAAGGAAATTGCTGTAGCGATCTTTCACCTGTTCACCTGTTGCTGATAAACTCGTCATGATTGAAGCCTGTTTTCTATCCAGTTAATGTTCTATTGATTTCAGTTGGGTGCTAGGGTGATGCTTTACTGATCTTAAGTGGAGGAATTTAAAACACCTGTGCCTGTAGCTCTGCACATATGCAAACCTTTGATCTATTAGCAACTCCTGTTAGCATATATATAGGTGTGGTATTCTTCAATAAAGTTGGCAGAGTCAGACGCAAGCNCTCTGATGCAACAAAGCAGTGGTCACCCCACTTTATGGGTCAAGAGATGTACCCCATAGCAGCAGCAAGGAGCCTTCTGAGAACTCAGATGCAGACAGATGAGGTGGAGACATCACCGGTCACCTTGGCCACCAGCATGTCAGCTCACATCTTACATTACACTGTGATGATGGCTGGTCC